CGTGCCACCTCTTGAGTGGCTTAATCTTCAATCGATCCATCAATCGCTCCCAGACCCACGTCAGAATTGGAGAGTTTTAAATCATTTCTTATCTAGTAATGCCTTGTGAAGCATTGAGCACGGCTTCATCAAGTATTAACGTGCCCTCTTACGTTGCTTTACGCAGTGTTCGTTGCACCCGTTGTTTTATGCAGTGTTCGTTGCACCCGTTGTTTTATGCAGTGTTCGTTGCACCCGTTGTTTTACACAGTGTTCGTTGCACCCGTTGTTTTACACAGTGTTCGTTGCACCCGTTGTTTTATGCAGTATTCATACACATATATCGCCAGCGCCCAAAAAGATGCGTATTTAGTGTCATAACTAGCTGTCTAAGTATATCACACACTGCCCCAGACAACGGACAGGCCTGAGGACAATCTCGCTGAAGAGAAAAAGAAGCGCTTGAGAAGCAATTCCAGAATTCTTCTGGGGGTAAAGGGCGCTTGAGAGACACTTTAATATATTCATAAGACCCGCTCCTAGCGCTCCAGAAAGACCAGCCAAGGCCGTACAGAGACTTGGATACAGCGAGATTTAACCGGAATACAGATGGGACAGACTTCAAGAAATACAAGAAAGCCTTGACAACACTACATCGTTCTTACGGGCTCACCATAGCCCGTGCTACATGGACACTTCGTTCTGAGTAGCTAAATCTAAAATAACAACAACTACATTGTTGTCAGGAGTTTCAAAATTTAGCTGAAAAACAAAATAGGGATAGAGGAACGTGTTGATGGGATATGATGCCCAACCACTTTGTACCATCGAGAATTGAACTCCGACCCAGCAAGAGGCGAGGCCTTCATTCTACCGACTCCCAATCTCACGAAGATATTGAGTTCAAGCTTAAGAAACCGAGGATCAATGTCCCTTGCGGCTCGGTCTCAAACTAGGCCTTCTAGATGACAGCTTGGTTAATCAGGCTGTTTGACCCGCTCCAGCCGGTCAAACCCGCTAGGAGTTGGAGTCTCCTCCAAGTTGGAGTCTCAAGTCGCCCAAGTTGGAGTCTCCTCCAGAGTTGGAGTTGGAGAGAGGAGTCCAAAAACTGGTCCCGTTTTGCTCGCAGTTTGAATCAAAGCGTGATTGATCAAGGAATATTTTGAATGAGTTTATCAAAGCTCCCTTTTGAATCCCAACTTAGATCGACTAGTAATGTACCATATATATTTAGAAGGAAGGTGTTAGCAATTCTAGAACCCCTAATAGAGTACTTTCTAAAGAATATATATTACAGCTCTATACTGTTCAATGGTCTATACTGTTTTACACATTCGGACACGCCCCTCCTGGTCTTGTAAAGAATTATTTCAGTATGCTGACTTCCAACCAGTTGTGGAAAATTGTGTGCGTGTACCGTCACTATGATCCCCGTCTACATGCGCGTACCGTCCCTACGATCCCCTCTACGTACACGTACAGTCTAGTACGAACCCCCCTCTTCGTGCATAGGGTTACTGCAAGCCCCTTTAAGTGTGTGTGTGTACCTTGCACAAAGGGAAATCATATTAACATGATATATTAATGAGAAAATCAGTAGGAGCCACACGGAGGATTCGAACCTACGCGCTGAGTACTGCCATGAAACGATCTGAATTGCGGTGGGAGATGTGCCACAACTTACCGTTCTCGGTGGTCCTGGTGAGGTGTGCCATCCCTGGTTTGGCACCCGTTGTTTTATGCAGTGTTCGTTGCACCCGTTGTTTTACAGTGTTCGTTGCACCCATTGTTTTACAGTGTTCGTTGCACCCGTTGTTTTATGCAGTGTTCGTTGCACCCGTTGTTTTACATTGTTGCACCCGTTGTTTTACGCAGTGTTCGCTGCACCCGTTGTTTTACAGTGTTCGTTGCACCCGTTGTTTTACAGTGTTCGTTGCACCCGTTGTTTTATGCAGTGTTCGTTGCACCCGTTGTTTTACAGTGTTCGTTGCACCCGTTGTTTTACAGTGTTCGTTGCACTCGTTGTTTTACAGTGTTCGTTGCACCCGCTGTTTTACAGTGTTCGTTGCACCCGTTATTTTACGCAGTGTTCGTTGCACCATTCGTTTGTCGGGTGCAACGAACAATTGGTTTGCTCGAGAGAGATCCTAGAAGTTGCCAGATAGAAGTTGCAGTTGGCACTCAAGTGAGCGTGACGGTACAGCGGCGCACATCATGACCAGGAATTTAGAGGCTATTAAAGCTACGTATACATTGTGCCGTTGTACTCGAATAGTGAAGACAAGACCAGACTGGGGAGGTGGTAGTCTGTGGTGGTGGTGGTGGTGGTCGTCGTCGTCGTGCTGGTTGGCTTTAGTTGGGCTGTGTTGGTGGTGTTGGGTTGTGGTGATGGTGGTAGTCCTTACCTACTGACAGTCTAAGGGAGAGTGAAGTCTAGCTGTTTATACCCCGCCTACCAGCCTTGTTGTACCTCTTTGTTACAATTTAACTACTGACAAATTCTTCGTCGAATTTGGCCTTACCATTGTGGCTGGAGGTGGCTTCCACAACTTGTTCTTTCAGGGCATTAAACTTGTTGACCGCCCGTACACTGTACCAATATTTCCTTACATTCCTTCAGCTCATTTGTGTTTCCAGCTTCCATCTGTGTCGTCTTGTCCTGCTTTCTCTCATTTTGAAGAGGATATCATTGTCTACCTTATCTATTCCCCTCAGTATCTTATATACTGTGATCATATCACCTCTGTTCCTTCTATCCTCTAGGGTAGTTAGATTTAGTTCCTTTAGCCTATACTTGTAGCTTAACTTATTTCACTCTGGCACCAATGTTGTTGCAAACTCTGTATTTGATCAATTTTGTTTTAAGTTTCCCAAGGTACATATTCCAGTATTGGTCTAACAAATGCTGTGTAAATTGCCTTGACATAGTCGTGATTTAGGTTTCTACGTGATGTTTTTATATTGGCCAGCGTCCCATATGCTGCTGATGTTACCCTGTTTATGTGTGCCTTCAGTGTTGGTGCTGGAATTGTTTCTGCTCCCAAACATACATTGTACTTGAGATTCTTGTAGCTGCCTTTCCCTTATGGTATACATGCCTCCTGGTCTCTCTCTCTCTCATCCTCATTACCTTACCCTTAATGGGCTTGAATTCTATGAACCATTTATTTGACCACTCCTGGAATTCGTCAAGGTCTGCCTGTAACTTCCTGTAGTCCTCATCTGTCTTCACGTACATCAGCAATGCGGCATCTGCAGACACTAACATCTACGAGTTCACTCCCTCAAGTGGTTGGGCACCATTCCTTCCCTCCGTCCCAACCCAGATCCTTATCCAGACCTCTCTTCCAAGTGCTATATAGTCGTATTGGCCTAAACGGCTCCAGTACCTAAACTTCTGGAACGCCTCTTATTACATTCCTCCAACTTTAAACCAATTTATATATAAATATAGACTGATTACTAATATATATTTACTTATGTGTTTTTATATCAGACGTTCACGAAGTGGCCTACACCAGTCTCTATACAACTGATATCAGCGGTGAGTGACAGTTACTGGTCCTGCTCCACACCTACCTGAGCGGTACTCATGCGAGCAGACATGTGTGTGTGTGTGTGTGTGTGTTACAAGCCTGCTCAGCGCAGGTGTCTAGTGAGAGAGAGAGAGAGTAGTGGAGTTTATGCAAGTGCATCAGGGTTACAAGTTTGGACTCATTGAGGCTAATATGTATGCATTAGCCAGCATCTGTACTGCAGGCCGAGTGTGTTTGTCTCAGGTTGTGTTGAGTGTGTGAGTGTGAGTGTGTGTGTGAGTGTGTGTGTGTGAGTGTGTGTGTGTGTGTGTGTGTGTGTATGTGTGTGTGTGTCTGTGCTTGTTTGTAGTGACACAACATCGACCAGTCTGGAATACATCTACCAGTGTTTGGAATTCATTGACCTCTGTGTGGAATTTTCTTTTCAGGTTTTTCCTGTGTTGATAATTAAGTGTGTGTGTGTACTCACGTAGTTGTGCTTGCGGGGGTTGAGCTTTGGCTCTTTGGTCCCGGCTCTCAACTGTCAATCAACTGGTGTACAGATACTTGAGCCTACTGAGCTCTATCAAATGTACATTTGAAACTATATATGGAGTGTGTGTGTGTGTGTGTGTGTGTGTGTGTGTGTGTGTGTGTGTGTGTGTGTGTGTGTGTGTGTGTGTGTGTGTGTGTGTGTGCATGCATATATTCAAGAGAAAAACTCTGTAATCTACTGTAATCAATGAGAAAAACAGCTGAAATACAGTTGAAAAAGGTAACAAATGAATACTAACAGGCAGAGGTATTTGCCCTTCGTCTGTCGTGGCTCTGGCTTCACTGCTGATACAGTCTGACATTTCTGGGCGTGCATTATATATACAGTGCCTTGTTGCCGGCCCTCTAGTGCCTCTCGTGGCTCTAGATGGTTGTCTACGGCACTACTTACGGACTCTATTACTTCTCGTCACCGGTAATTACACCACTTATTGTATATATATATAAACTAATTATTATTGTGTGTTTGTCGTGTGTGTGTGTGTGTGTGTGTGTGTGTGTGTGTGTGTGTGTGTGTGTGTGTGTTTACTAGTTGTGTCTGCAGAATCGAACTATTAGTTCTTGGACCCCGCCTTTCTAACCAAACTATTTTTCCTCTACTATATCTTCTACTATAGATACACACTGATGTGTGTGTTAGATATATCTCTAACACACACACACACACACACACACACACACACACACACACACTTCCCCAGGAAGCAGCCCGTAGCAGCTGTCTAACTCCCAGGTACCTATTTACTGCTAGGCGAACAGGGACATCAGGGTGAATGAAATTCTACCCATTTGTTTCCGCCTCCAGACATGTAAGCCAGACATTTGATACCAATGATACCATTAATATCGTTTTACAGCTTGTGCGTATGTCTTAGCAAGACAAAGACATACATTATGTTTATGTAAGACATAGTAAGACTATGTAAGACTATGTAAGACTATGGTACTTACCCTTAAGTAGTGTTGCTTCTTGGGGTAGGGGTTCCCTTTGGGGTGGGGTTCCTGGGGGTGGGGTTCCTGGGGTGGGGTGCTTCTTTTGGGGTGGGGGTGGAGTCCCCGAAGTCGGGGGTGAGATATGCTTAAAAATTTTCTCTGTTCAATTTAACATTTTCCCACATTAGTAACGCGACAACACATCCTCATATATCTTGCCCTTTCACTCCAACAAATTCCTTTTCCAGTTGATCGCTAACAGTCTCAGTTGCATCCCTGCCACCAGAGGCATCAGTTAACAGTCTAACTCAGTGGCACTCATTAGGTCTCAGTAGCACCAGTTAACAGTCTAAATCAGTGGCACCCATTAGGTCTCAGTGGCACCAGTTAACAGTCCCAGTAGCACCTGTTAACAGTCTAAATCAGTGGCACCCATTAGGTCTCAGTGGCACCAGTTAACAGTCTCAGTGGCACCAGTCAACAGTTTAAATCAGTGGCATCCATTAGGTCTCAGTGGCACCAGTTAACAGTCTCAGTGGCACCAGTCAACAGTTTAAATCAGTGGCACCCATTAGGTCTCAGTGGCACCAGTTAACAGTCTAAATCAGTGGCACCCATTAGGCCTCAGTGGCACCAGTTAACAGTCTCAGTGGCACCAGCAACAAACTACCCAACACCTGACCTGACCATTAAGACAACAGCCGTCAGGTTCAATAGCCTCGGCCACACATCACTCCGGCGTCAGGTCAAAACATCATTAACATAGTAAATCCATCACGAGAAACACAGAGATGAGGTCCACTTGTGCCTTGTAATGCCAGGGTGGGAACTACTGGGTACAGAACTAGTACAACGCAGGGTACCACCCAGGGTACAGAAGTAGTACAACGCAGGGTACCACCCAGGGTACAGAAGTAGTACAACGCACGGTACCACCCTGGGTACAGAACTAGTACTACCCAGGGTACCCTCAGGGTACAGAACTAGTACCACCCAGGGTACAGAACTAGCATCAACCACGGTACCACCCAGGGTACAGAACTAGTACCACCCACAGTACCACCCACGGTACAGAACTAGTACCACCCAGGGTACCACCCACGGTACAGAACTAGTACCACCCACGGTACCACCCACGGTACAGAACTATATAGTACCACGCAAGGCTACAGAACTAGTACCACACCGATCAAGTTGGCTAAGAACTGCCTTTGTGAACGTGAACAAAGAGTCGTTGTTCAGATCAGTTCTGGAACACGCGACACCAACGTACAGTCCTTATCTCTGGAACAAACCGGAGAAAGTTCAGACGCCACCAGACCAGTCCCAGAACTGAAAGGTACAACTTTAGTGGAAACAGGTGTTATATATCTACCCGTCGCTGAAAGAGAGAAACGAAACAGGGAGGGAGACATGACTACCACATATAAAATACTCGGAATAAACAGGGTAGTCAAGGACTAATTATTTAGCAGGGTAAGTACAGGAACAATGGGACACAGACGGAAGCTAAATGCCAAAATGAGCCATAAAGATATTAGAATCTCTTCAGTATCGCAATAGTGAACATGGAAGGGGTTGAGGAGTGACTCCATGCGTTGCTTTAAATGCAGATATAACAGAGCCCAATAGGCTCTGTGTATGAAGTCTATACACCGCGCGATTAAGAGTTAAGAGGCGGGACCCAAGAGTCGTGGCTCATCCCCAGCATACACAACTATGCGAGTACTGGTTAAGCACCAGTACAACACTTAGTGCAGAAGTGGTACAGCACTACTTTACAACTGGTACAACACTGCTACAGAACTGGTACTGCACTAGCACCTCACCAGTAGCTCATTATTACAGTACAAGTACTATTTCAGCAATAATACCACACTACTACAAGACAATACCAGTAAGGCAATAGTGCTGCTCTGATACATCACACGTACACCACACTAGTACCAATACCAGTACCACACAGCACTGGAATACCAACACCCACTACCATATCAACAAGAGCGGCCATCTTGGCCTCGGTAAAGACCTCAGGTCTCAGGATTGCCTCAGCCGGCATTGGCGATCTCTCTCTCAGCCTCCTCGCCACCACGTGACCCTCTGGCGAATCACAGCCAGACGCAGCTTCGCCAAACTTATCCCGCCACTGGTATCGTGTCGCCAAGTTCTTGAGTTACAGAACTTGCTTGCCAATTCTCGCCATATAATTCCTTATCACAAGACTGGGAAGGCAGAGTGCTCGTTTATACTGACAGCGCCCGCTTATACGAACAGTGCTCGCTTATACGAACAGGGCTCGCTTATACGAACAGTTCTCGCTTATACGAACAGTGCTCGCTTATACGAACAGGGCTCGCTTATACGAACAGTTCTCGCTTATACGAACAGGGTTCGCTTATACGAACAGTGGTCGCTTATATGAACAGTGCTCGCTTATACGAAGTGCTTGCTTATACGAAGTGCTCGCTTATACGAACAGTGCTCGATTATACGAACAGTGCTCACTTATACAAAGAGTTCTCGCTTATACGAACAGGGCTCGCTTATACGAACAGTGGTCGCTTACACACACACAGTTCCCTAACCACTTTGTAAACATTGATTGCCGAGGGTTGATTGTTGTCGTGGAATGTGATGAGACGAAATAAACTGGTAGGAGGGGTACAGGGTGAGGGTACAAATAGGGGGTACAACGTTGGAGAGGGGAAGCAATATTGGAGGGGTACAGCATATTGGGAAGGGTACAGCATGCGAGGAGCGGTAGAGCATGGTAGCACAGAGTTGCAAGGGTTGTACAGCGTGAGAAAGGAACAACGTGAAAGGATAACAGTTTACATGGGTAGGGATATGGCCACCATGGGTAGAGGTACAGTGCTAGGGGGAAGGGGGTACAGCCAAAACGGGTAGAGGGACGCGTATAAAGGTACAGCCAACATGGGTAGGGGGTACAGCATGGGGGGGGGGACACAGCCAAAATATGGGTAGTAGAGATGCCCATAGCGTGGCCTGAGCCTACACGTTCAGTAGCACATATCCTGCACTCGATCAATCAGCCTTATGGAGCATGTACAAGCGTAGGGAGCGTGAGGAAAGTAGCCTAGGGAGCGTTTTCGCGTGGAGCGCGTGTGGAACGCGAGCGGGCGCGGCCGAGTACCGTTGTGGGCGTTGGTCGAGGCGATACTAGCCTCGGCCGCCCCTAGCAGGCAGACTGGCCCGCGTGTTGCCAGATCGCGCGCCAACCTACTTCTCTGACCCTCTGGCGCCCTGATAACTCCAAACGTCTTTGTACTGTCCTGCGGCCGCTACCAGATAACGCCCAGGGGAGGGAGTGAGTGGTGTAAACATAGTGGTGGGATGTACTATAGCGAACTAGTACGAGGGTCAAATTTAAGATGTGTTGCGGGAAGGGAAGGTTCTAAGGCTGCTGCTGGGAGTTTGAAGTCGTCTACTCCTGTGACCTCATATGTGAGTGAGAAAGAGAAAGAGAGAGAGAGAGAGAGAGAGAGAGAGAGAGAGAGAGAGAGTGAATCACAGACAAACAGAAAGATAGTCACCAGTTATAACTGAAGCCGCAAACACGTCCAAGCCAAGCCTCCTCCTTATCCCCCCATCCCACCCCTAGCCATCCCCTCCCTCACCCCTCATATTAACCCTCCCTCACCCCTCACTCACCCCTCCCTCACCCCTCACTCACCCCAGGATTGTGAGTTTCCCTGGAATTATTTTTTGTGCCTGTTTTTACCCTAGACTCTCGAAGATTTATAGGTGGCTTCGAGTTCTACAACTGACCCACGGGGCCGACCTCAGATAAGACAGTCGCTCCGGGGGGCATTGACCCCCTCTTCCTTCCTTCCTTCCCATAAAAAAACTAATCCCAATTCATGGGTCTCTTCCCAATTTCCAACCGGTTAACCCATCCATCGGTCACTGGCGATGGGGCAACTGATAACAATCTACGACGTCAAATTAATATGAAATACGGCGGAGTGGCTCGTAAAAGAGAAGGATTATAGGTAGGAAATAATAAGAGAATATACGAAACGTGTTAAAGTCGAGTACAAAAGTGCGACGAAGGCAAGTCGAGTATACGAACGTATTATATGTCAGTATCTTCTTATCTTGAGATGATTTCGGGGCTTTAGTGTCCCCGCGGCCCGGTCCTCGGCCAGGCCTCCACCCCCAGGAAGCAGCCCGTGACAGCTGACTAACACCCAGGTACTTATTTTACTGCTAGGTAACAGGGGCATAGGGTGAAAGAAACTCTGCCCATTGTTTCTCGCCGGCGCCTGGGATCGAACCCAGGACCACAGGATCACAAGCCCAGCGTGCTGTCCGCTCGGCCGACCGGCTCCCCACCCCACGAGTACACCGAACTCGCCTCTCTTACGTTCGAACTCTGAACTACGAACGTTCGGGAGGCGAGTACACTGAACTACGAACACGGAAGAGAAGAAAAAAAAAAAGAGGTCGAAATACTGTTGACAGAACAGGTTGAACAAAAAATACAAGAACACTTTTCGTAATAAAATATTATCTTCATATCTTTATCTCGAACGTAAATCTCGATGCGGAAAAATAGCCAAAATATTGTAGGAAAAAAACAGAGACATAAAATTTGTTTAATGTTGATTAAACAAAAAAAGTTAAAAGTACTAAAACCAACTTTTGTATTTTTTATAGCATTTCTTAAATATGAGAAGATGGATGAGACTATCTATACCAAATAAGCACAGCCTCTTTAGTTATAATCATGGCCAGGATTCATAATTTATGTAAATTCATTTACATAACTTCCATAAACATAACTTACGTAATTTACACAACCTGTACACCTTTTTTTGAGCGCTGAAGCATTACGAGAAAATGTCTTATCTAACATTGGAGGTCAGATGCTTGGGGTTAGCCTAGCCCAACTTTGCAGGAGGACAGATCTGGGGTATGGGACGAACATAAGCTTCGTGAGGGCTACCAGAATTCAAGATGAAACAGCGCCATAGAGTCACATACTAACCCCTATGACAAAAATTTTGGCATTGCTTCCCCGGCTACTGGCTAAATCTTTAAAAAATATAAATTAAACACAAAAATCTTATAGTAACATGAAAAATTATGTATTGATCTCAGAGGAATCAGACAAATCTCTAATCAAACTTTGCCAGTATCAGCGTAAAACAGACGATTCCCACCCCCCATCCTCCACAGGTTCAAAGGCTTTCTCAAGCCCTGTCCCTTCTCTAAGCCAATGAGAAACTATTATATATTTGTAATATTTCACAGTGCTAGGCTCCTCACACCAGCAGATCCAACCGCCCTCCAAGCCAATGGGAAACTATCATATTTATATAACATAGAAAGACTATAGGAAGAGAAAGGGACAGAAATAGTCAGCAAAAAGGATACATAGATACAGAGACAGACACAGAAACTGGGTCGACCAGGGCAAAGAGAGTGAGAGAGAGAGGGGCAAGATAAACAGAAAAACACAGAGACAGAAAGATAGTAAGAGAGCAGGGAGAGGGTGGATGTTTGAAGAGAGGGAAGGAGAGAGGGGGAGACAGGTGAAGAGGAGGGGGAAGATCAGAGGAGACGACAGGGGGGGGGGCAAAAAGGTGAGAGAGGGAGATTGTGATAAAGAGTGGAGAAGGCAGAGTGGAG